AGATCATGCTTTTCAGCATTCCTCTTGTGAATGAGAACCAGGCAAGGATGCCTTTTATTACTACCTCTATTCAACATTATAATGGAAATCCTAGCCAATAAGGCAAGAAAGAGAAATAAAAAGCATCGGTATCCGCAAAGAAGAACTAAAACTATCTCTATTTGTAGATACAGGATTCTGTACATAGAAAACCCAAGAGACTCAGCAAGAAAATTACTGGAACTAATTGAAAGATTTAACAAAGTGGCAGGATACAAGATCAATATACAAAAACCAGCTGGATTCCTCTAAATCAACAGACTTGTCTAAAAAGGAAATAAGGAAAGCAATACTATTTACATTAGCTTCCAAAAAGCTAAAATAAATCTTATCAGGGACTGAAAAGACTGATGTAAAGAAAACTACAAAACGCTACAAGAAGCAATTATGAGACCTACATAAATGGAAGAACATAACATGTTCCTGGATAGGAAGACTGAACACTGTGAAAATGTCATTACCACCCAAAGCAATCTATACATTCAATGCAATCCTGACCCAGAATCTATCAACAATCTTTAAGGACATGGAAAAACCAATCACTAATTTTATATGGATAGGACAGTGACCTTGGATTAGTAAAGCACTGCCAATGACAACAACAAAGTAGGAAGTCTCACACTCCTTGATCTCAACACCTACTAAACAGCTACAGTAGTCTAAACATCCTGGTATTGGTACAAAGACAGACACACAGAACAATGGAACAGAATTGAGGATCCAGAAATAGATCCATTCACCTATAGGCAGTCGATCTTTGGCAAACAGCCAAAACCCATTAAATGGGGAAGAAATAGTCTCTTTAACAAATAGTGCTGGCAAAACTGGATATCCATTTGCAGAAAAATTAAACAAAATCCATACCTCGTACCACATACAAAAACTAACTCAAGATGGCTCAAAGACCTAAATGTAAACCCTAAAACTACAAAGACAACCAAAGAAAAAAGAGGGGCTAACTTAGGGGCCATAATTTATGGCATAAATAGACTATCAAATATCACCAAAAAGCCACAAACAGAAGATAAACTAGATGACTGAGATCTTCTAAAAATTAAATTCTTATATGCATCAAAAGACTACTCCAAAAGAGTAAAAAGAAAACCTACAGATTAGGAAAAAAAAAAAAAATTGGCAATGACAAATCCAATGAGGGACTTATTTCTAAAATTGATAGAAAACGTCAACCCCTCAACATCAAAAAGAGAAACTACCCAATTAAAAAATGGGCAGAGGGTGTGAACAGATATGTTACCAAATTAGATACTCTGGCAGCCAATCAACACATGAAGAAATGTTCATGAACATTAGCCATTAGAGAGATGCAAATCAAAATAAAGAAATATTATCTCACCCCAGCAATAACAGCAAAATGCAACAAGACAGAAAACAACAAGTCCTGGCAAAGGTATGGAGAGATTAGAACTCTCATACACTGCTAGTACAACCACTGTAGAAAATGGTATGGCACTTCCTTAAAAAGCTGGAACTAGAAATACCATTTAATCCAGCAATCCCACTACTAAGTGTATATACTAAAGAACTGAGAGCCAGAACACAAATAGATATATGCATACCTATTTTCACTGCAGCACTATTCACAACAGCAAAGAAATGGAAACAACCCAAGTGGCCATCAATGGATGAATGAATAATCAAACTATAGTACATACACACAAAGGAATACTATGCAACATTAAAGAAGAATGAAGAATCCATGAAACACCTCATAACGTGGATGAACTTGGAGGACATTATGCTGAGTGAAGTAAGTCAATCACAGGACAAATACTGTATGAGTCTACTATTTAAAAAGTAGTAATAGGGAAAGAAACATTCTTTGATGCTACCACAGATAAGTAGGGGAGGGAAAACTGCTAGCTAGGTAAGAGACATGAAGTGATCTGGGTGAAGGGAAAGGCAATATACCAAAAGCAGGTGACCAATAAATTAACACTAAGGAAATGACATGGAGAGATGCATAAGAGGTACAGACAGCAAAGATAAACACTATTACATATATGTTCTGGTTCCCTAGTCCCACTCTGACAAGAATATACCATAAATGGGATGGCTTGAAGAAACAGGAGTTTATTCTCTTACAGTTTGGAGGCTTTAAGTCCAAGTTCAAAGTGCCAGGCTCTAGGGGTTGGGTGAAAGCCCCTCAACCTTGAGCTTCAGTTCTGCTTCCTGCTCCCAGCCCACTGGAACTAAATGCTTTTCTTCACTCAGACAGCTGCTGGCTGCTGAGACTGAGAAGTCCATGGTTGACAAGTAAAAAGGCACAATTCCGATGTTACTAAACTACACGACAGGCCATTAATTCAAGGACATTGAAAGTCCCAAGGTCGGCAGGGCATGGCCGGCTGCTGAACAACAACAAGGCCACATGCAGGGTTCAAGCATGCCATAAACTAGAGACCGTTCCCCAAGCCTTCTCCTTATATACAGGAAGCAGATCACAGCCCTAAGCAGCTACTCAGCTGCTTGTGGTAGATCCCACCATGGAGTAGATTACCATCCTCTTCATGGGGAATAAGTACCACCAGTTGCCCAGCCACTCAACCAGACCCAGCCAAGTTGACACACAAACTTAACCACCATGATACACAATACTGCATTATCAGTTATAACAAATATTAATCTATGAATTGATACACAGGTAGACATGCAAGATGATCAGGTATGCATAGGTGAAAGGGACTATACCCATGACCATATACACCTATTTGTAGGTACTATAAAAATGTCCATATTTATAATAGAGCTAAGGGGGGCAAAGTTATGATAAGTTCTTAGACACAGCCAAACACCTTGAGGGAGTGAGTCACTGGGTCTGTGGACTTGGGACCATAGTAGCAGGTGCCATCAAGCTCAACTGGCATGACAGAGTACACAAAAACATTGTTCTACTTCAGTGAATAGTGACAAGGGTTTTAAAAGTTTATAAATGGCAATCTCCTCATTGGGAGCAAAGAAGAGTGAAGGAAATCAAAGGGAACAATTAGCCCAAGTCACAGCAACTTCAGCCTACATGACCCTGAGACCAGAAGAACTAGATGGTACTGACCACTCAGAAAGGGATCAAAACTGGAGACCCTGGATAAAGTGGGAGAAAAATGTGAAACAAAACTCAAAATCATAAAAATAAAATAAAATAAAAAACCAGGATTATTGGCCTGATAGACACTGGTGAAACCTCTGCAACTGTGGCCCCTAGTCACCCTTTTGGTGTCATATTGAACCCACTCCATGGCTTAACTTCCAGCCAAAGAACAGACAGGCTTATAAGGTGAACAATTATACCAGGTAGGTACACTCCTTAGAACACTCAACCATGGGAGATCAGAAGGGCAGCATTTGCACAGGGAGACAGCTCAGAAAGCAGGAAGGCACAGGAAAGGGGCTCAGGAAAAAGGTAGCCACGGGGAAGAAGCGGGAAAGGAGCTGTTACATTGTGAGGAATGCAAGTCACAAAACAAAATGTATATAAACTGTTGAAAAGAAAATGAATTTGCTCTGTAAACTTTCACCCAAATCACAATAATAAGTAAAATTAGGGGGGAAAAAAATGCACGGAAACAATTTGCCCAAGGGATTAGTGGACCAAGGGAACCTCAGACTATAAGACCCTGAGACCAGAATTAGATGTTGGCTACTACTGCCTGAAAGGGATCCTAGATAGAGCAGAAGAAAAATGTGGCCCAAAACTCAGAATCATAAAAAAAGACCAGGTTTGCTGGTCTGATGGAGACAGGTGAAACCCCTGAGACGATAGTCCTTGGTTGTTCTTTGGGCCAGGAATTGCACTCACTCCTCTGGCTCAACTTTCAGCCAGACAGACAGACAGACCTATGAGGTGAACAATTATACCAAGTGTGATAGTTGGAGCTGTGTGTCAACTTGGCTGGACCCCAGTTCTGTGTGGTTGTTCCCATGATGGGATCAGATGACTGTGTTCTGAGTGGCCAGTCTGCCCAAGGGGAGTTTCCCTAGGGGTGTGGCCTGCTTCCAAGATATCCAAGGACACTCTGGGAAGAGCCGCATTCCTTGAGGAATTGGAACCCTGGTGTGCGAACTACAGACTTCCGTGAGTGAGCAGCCCACCGCTTAGCCTGGAGATCTCGGATTCGTCTTTTGTTGGGGTCAGCAACCAGTGTACTGCATGCCAGCTTGAATCTCTCGGCTCCCCTGTGCTTGTGGAAGCCAAGGTGGCCGCAAGCCCCATCTCCTCCAGAGACTTGGACTTTTCGGCTTGGACTTGTCGGCTTCTATACGCTTGTGAGCCATTTTCCTAAGATAAATTTCTCTCTCTCTCTCTCTCTCTCTAAATATACATATACACTTTGCTGGTTTTTGTGTTTCTCTAGAGAACCCAATCTAACATACCAGGGAAGTACACACTCCTTACAGCAATTACCATAGGAGATCAAAAGGGCAGCATGTGCACAGGGATAAAGCTCAAAAGGCAGGACTGCACAGGAAAGCACACAGGGAAAGGGTAACCACAGGGAGGGAACGAGAAGAGAGCTGCTAGAGTGTGGGGATTGCAGTCAATGTCACGAAACAAAACGCGTATGAACTGTTGAATGGAAAATGAATTTGCTCTGTAAACTTTCACCCAAATCACAACAAAAAGTTAAAAAGAAAAAGAAAAGATCATGCTTTTCAGTGATCTCAGTTTCACAGAATGGCTAAATATTATTTTAGAATAGATGAGCAGTGACGTGAACAAAGCTGGAAAATCACTAAGTCAGGATCAGCCTGGGTTTTTTTTTTAGTTTATTGGCTAAATATCCCAGGATCAGAGCTCCCCATTCTGCAGGCCCAATAAGTCTCAAGTTTCTGTTGTGGTTGTGTAAAAAACACATAGAGTCCTAAGGTTCCATAGCAGTCAGGGTTAGGAAACTTATTGTCCCAAGACACTGGCCTATTGTATACAGGGCAACCCAGAAACATACCAGCAGGCTAAGATGCAGAGCCCCGTGAAAAGGATGATGGGAATGGGGTAGGATGCACAGAGCAGCCCATGGTTGTAGAAAGCCCGAGATATCTTCTCACGCAGCCTTTCAGTCAGGGTCATCCTCAGCTGAAGTCACCTTGCAGCCATTCCGGAAAGTGACCATGGATCAGCCTGGCACACACTGGACAGAACTGAGGGCGGACACCATCTGCAGGGGGGTACCTGGCAGAAAGAGAGAAACCAGCAAATTAACAGAGGGCACTTGGCTCTGCAATCCACAGTTGCTATGGGGAGACAACAGCTGTATACAAGGTCTAGAAAGATCCACACACATGTGCACACAAACAATCTTGGTCATTTATTAGTGACTCTATTAAGCAGCTTTCTAATCAGTCTAATCAAAGGATTCAAAAACCTGCCCTCCAGCTCTGGTAATAAAACTTTCAACCTCTTCTGTATTAGGCATTTTTGAAAGGCCACTCCCTGAACAGAAAGGCAGTGTTTGCACAGGAAGACAGCTGAGGGGGTAGGCAGGAGTGGACGCGAGGGAAAGACACAGGGAAGAGGTAACTACGGGGAGGAAGTGGGAAGAGTGCTGTAACACTGTGGGGATTGCAGTCAATATCATGAAACAAAATGTGTACAAACTGCTGTATGGAAAATGAATTTGCTCTGTAAACTTTCACCCAAATCACAATATAAATAAATAAATAAATAAATTGCTGAGCAATAAAAATAAAAAGCCACTCCCTAGAGAAGGCATTTTCCTCACAAAGTGGTACAGGAAAGCACACCTGTGTGTAACAGACATCACCCTCAAGTGCTTGCTCCCAAACAGGCATTCTGGACACCCTACCCACCCTCCTCTGTGCACCAGCAAATTGACATAAATCCTTGGGGAAGACCTTCAACGCAGGGCTGACTAGAAAAAAACACATTCTTACACAAACAGTGATTTACTGATGAAGAATGTTCACTGGGGCCAGCCTTCAACACAAAACCACCACAAAGATTAGGCCCCTGACATGGAAGTCACTAAATAAAACTCTCTCTGGCAGCCATAGTAGGTGGGAGTCTCCGTTCCTCATCCTAGAGTTGCTTCTGGAAGTGTGAGGACAAAGGACCCCTCTTGTCCTGCCTGCCCAGCATCTGTCCCCTTCTTTGAGTAATAGCAGCCCAGTGTAGCTTGAGGAATCACCTCACCCCACAGGATCAGTCAAGGTGCTCCTTCTCGACCTAAGCTACACAGGTTGGGCCTGACTTTGACTTATGAGTAGAAAGCAAGTGGTATTAGTCATCCCCACACATGTTCCTGCTCCTGAAATCCCCAAGCTGCTCTAGCTTCAGTCCTTCCTGAAGACTGGCTCATCAACATTTTGTTCCAATCTATGAGCCACCCCATATCCTTCCAATAAATCCCCCTTTTATGTTAGCCAGAATTAATTTCTGTTGTTTGCAAACAAAGAACCTTAAACCAATACAATCACATAATAGAAAACCCTAGCAGCAAACCCAAGGGGTCTGAAATTCTCTTCCTCCCTGAGTTCACCAGTGAAATCTAAATTTAAACCCACTTCTCCTGTTCCATGTTGCTGTTTTCTTTGGCCTGTGCAAACAGAACCTGCCCAGACACATGTCTTGGCTTGACAAACTCACTGATGAAAACTCGGCTAATGAGATGACTCTTCTGAAGTGTTTGGACCAGAAATGAGAAGCACAGCCAATTCACACGCCAGAAAGGAAAGACTATCACTCCTTCCATTTTCCTTAGAGTACAGCATTAAGCATGTATACAACCTCCCAGTCTAGGAACCTTCGATGGAAATACAAAGAACCTTCTGTCGGTCCTTTCAACAGACAATAGACACACAGGTAACAATTGCTAGTGAAAGGAGCAGAGGTACTCACAACAGCTCCACCAGCCATGGGGCTCACCAGAGCATGACAGGTCACAGAAGTCTCAGGGAGCAGACCCACAGCAGGGGTAGTGACAGCACTCATCACCCAGCACCAAAACAAGGTATCAGGAAGTAATGCTCCGGTGCCTGTGTCCCACACTTGTTTTGCCTTCAACAATGAAAGAAACAAACTGGAGGCACACCTGCAGAGAGACACTGTCAAAAGGATCCCTCAATACTCATGGCCAAGCCAGGTGTTGTTTTTCCAACCTATTCCTCTGACAAGCTCCACATCTCTTCCCTGAAATGCTTGAGCCCAAGACCAGGCTCTCCAAGAAATTCTGAGCCAATAATCCCCTCCCTCAGCCTCTCCTGCACATAAATCAGCAACACAAGGGAGAGAAGGCCATTGTTTGTGAAGATCTCTTTCACTTGCAAGTATTAACACAAGAAAAAGATAAGGGACTTAGCTCTAAAATTTATACAAAACTTCAACACCTCAACATCAAAAAGTCAAACAATCCAATTCAAAAATGGGCAGAGACACAGCAGTCAAAATTGCCTGGTATTAGTATAATGACAGACACTTAGACCAATGGAACAGAACTGAGAACCCAGAAATAGATCCATCTACCTATGGTAAGCTGATCTTTGGCAAAGGGCCAAAATCCATTAAATGGGGAAGAGAATGTTTGTTTAATAAATGGTGCTGGCAAACTGGATATCCATTTGCAGAAAAATTAAACAAGATCTGTACCTCACACCATACACAAAGACTAACTCCAGATGGATCCAAGACTTAAATGAAAGCTAAAACTATAAAGTTCCACAAAGAAAAGCTAGGGGCAAATTTAGGGGCCCTCATTTATGGCATAAATAGACTATCAAGCATAACCCAAAATGCACAAACAAAAGAAGAGAAACTAGATGAATGGGACCTTCAAAAAATTAAATCTTTATGTGCTTCCAAAGACTTCTCCAAAAGAGTCAAAAGAAAGCCTAAGGATTGGGAAATAATCTTTGGCAATGACATATCTGACAAGGGGCTTATCTCTAGAATTTACAGAAAACTCCAACATCTCAAAACAAAAAGACAATTCAATTAAAAAATGGGCAGAAGACCTGAATAGACACATCACCAAAGAGGATATTCAGGTGGCCAACAAATATATGAAGAAATGCTAATGATCATTAGCCATTAAAGAGATGCAAATGAAAACAAGATAACATCTTGTCCCAGCACTAGTAGCAAAGTTCCACAAGGCACAAAATAACAAATGCTGGGGAGGATATTGAGAGATTAGGACTCTCATACACTGCTGGTGGGACTGTAAAATGGTATAACCATTGTGGAAAGCAGTATGGTGACTCCTTAAAAAGTTGGAAATAGAAATACCATTTGACCCAGCCATTCCATTACTAGGTATATATCCTAAAGAAGTGAGAGCTAGGACAAGAAGAGATATATGCACACCCATGTTCATCACAGCACTATTTACAATAGCCAAAAGATGGAAACAACCTAGGTGTCCATCAACTGAAGAACGGAAAACCAAACTATGTTACATACACACAATGGAATACTATGCAACCCTAAAGAATAATGTAGAATCTGGAAAACACTGCATAACGTGGGTGAACTTGGAAGACATTACGCTGAGTGAAATAAGTCAATCACAGGACAAATATCGTATTGTTATTGTTATTTGCCGTCGAGTTGGACTCGACTCACAGCGACCCCTCCTTGGGTTTCCGAGGCAGTATCATTACAGAAGTAGATTGCCCAACCTTTCTTCCAAGGAGTGGCTGGTGGGTTTGAACCGCCAGCCTTCTGGTTAGCAGTCAAGTGCCTTAGGCACTATGCTACCAGAGCTCCCAATATTATATTAGTCCATGTGATAGTTGTGTGTCAACTTGGCTGGACCACAGTTCTATGTGGTTTAAGCAATTGTGATATGTGTTGTTCCAATGATGGGATCAGATGTATATTTTTTGAGCAGCCAATCCGTTGAAAGGGAGTTTCCCTAGGGGTGTGTCCTGCTTCCAGTATATTTATGGACATCCTGGGAAAAGAGACACTCTCCTGTGGATCGGGATTCTGTGCTGCCTACAACTGTCCGTGAGCAAACAATCCACCATCTGGCCTGGAGATCTTGGATTCATCTTTCATTGGAGTCAACAGCCAGTATACTGCCTGCCAACCTTGAGCTTGTCAGCCCCTGCAGGAGCATGAATCAGGAAAAGCCTCCAGCTTGACATCTAATCCAAGAACTTGGGACTTGCGGGCTTCTGTAAGTGTGTGAGCCATTTTCCTAAGATATATTTCTCTTTCTCTATATATAAGCTTCACTGGTTTTAGTCCTCTAGAGAACCTAGTTTAACACAGTCCATTACTGTAAAAAAAGGTTTATATATGGAAGGAAATTTTCTTCGTTGGTTACCAGGGAGGGGAGCCGAGGGGAGGGAACACTGTTAGACAGGTAGAGACAAGTATTGATTAGGGTGAAGAGAAGGGCAATGTACCAAATGTGAGTGATCAACATGGTGGCACTGAGGAAGAGGAAGACATAAGAGAGGTACATGGGAGGTACAGACAACAAAGATAAACCCTTTGCACATACAGTACTACATTGTCAGTGAAGGCAAACATGGGTATACTGGTGGATAGATGGGTGGACAGGCTTAACTATGAGGTATGTCTATGAAGCAGAGAGTGTACCCAAGACCATGTATAGGGTTGGCAGACAATGGTCCCATAAGTGTATTTGTATGATGAGTAAGAATTCCCAGGTGTATAATAAAGCTGACAAGGGACAAGGTTGTAGTCACTTCTTGGTCACAGCCAGCTACCCAGAGGGACCGAGTAGTTGAACCAGTGGGCTCAGGACCATAATCACAGGGACATCAAGCTCAATTGGCATAACATACTATACAAAACATTGTTCCACCTCCTACTTTGGTGAGTAGCAACTGGGATCTTAAAGGCTTGCAAGCAGCCATCTAGCCATCTGGATGCAACAATGGCTCTCTCCTCATCCAGAGTGGAGAAGAATGAAGAAGGTCAGGGATTCATGGAAACAATTGGTCCTAGCAATGGGTACACCATGCGATCTGCAGCCTATATGACCATGAGACCAGAAGAACTAGATGGTGCCCAGCTACCACTGTCGACCACTCGGAGGGGGATCTATGTAGGATTCCTGGATAGAAAAGGGA